TGGATTTGATTCCCAGCATACCCACGAAGGGAGGTCATTAGCCCTGATCATGGAGATGTGACCCCTCCCAATTCATCAGGCTTGTAAGGAAACATAACTTAATGCTTGGGGCCAGATGTTGTTACATGCCCTCAAAACTAGCAGCTGCAGCTGATGCGCTGAGGACATTCTTTCTGCTGCCAGACCCCACTACTGTCCTTGCCACAGGCAGGATGTGCCAGGGAGGTAAGGACACCTGGCAGTAGCTTTCCACCACGGAACTGGGCAGCAGTGCCCTAGCCACCTCTCCCGGTGAGACGCGTACCACACTGCCCCTAGTGGGTCCAAATGGGACTGAAGGCTCCGGGCCTTCAGCTACGGTATAGCTACTGTTTCTGTACCAGTTTCCTTTACTTCCCCCAATCAGCAGCATGCCTGTTTCTCTCTTAGGAAGCCCAGATTGCCTGCTGTAGTACACCAGCGTGTTTCTATGTGGCTGATGACGCGATGGGTACGCTTTCGCGAAGAGGCTTATTTTAGCTTGTGGTTTTGGAGATGAGAGGCGGGGAGGGAACCTGTGACAGTGTATTTCTCCTGGCCTCTCTTCCTCTTCCTGTACAGTCTCCTCCGGTACTCGGTGGTGGTGGTGGCTTTGACTACTCCTGATCTCTCAACTTACCCTTAATCACCACAAACACTTTCCACTCTCTTAAATGCCTCGCCGTGGGGATTTTATTCCAAAAGGAGTCAAAAAATATTTGTACCTGGATAAGTTGGGTAGTTTACTGGTGTCTATTTGCCAAGGCACACACCACAAGAATTTAATAAATGCCATTACTGCCAAGGTGCTTTTGAGTTTATTTCTGCTCTGCTTTCTCTCAGGGTTAAATCCTGCTTCCTTTGTCCTGTGTCCCGTAAAGAGCGTCTTCCTCCTTTGTTACACTCACCCTTCTGTCCTGCCCATTTCCACACCTTACTATGCCTTAGTTTGAATCTTTCCCCGGAGTCATTACAATTTGGCGAGACCATAGCTGTACTTAAACCGTTAGAAACAAAATTGGGCAATGGCAGCCCCTCCCCCTCCAAACAAGCAGTCAGTAGTCCAGACTTTTGTTGACACTTTGAACTTCCTGGCGATAAGGAGACAACATTGGCTTTCATTTTGTCAGGAGTTGCCATCGCAAGCTAGGACTCTTTGATTCAGACCCAGCTGCGCTACTTAAAGTTGTGTTCTGGCTGCTTTAAAGGGAGGAGGAGGAGGAGGGAGAAGGGAGGAGGAGGAAGAGGAAGAGGAAGAGGAGAAGACAATCCAGCAGACTTGATTACAATAAGGGACGGTGACTGAGTGGAACCCACTTCCTCTGTTCACAACATCAGCTTCCCCTCTGCAGATTTGGTCAAAAATTAACCCTCTCCCCCTTTACATCCATATCCATAAGAATTTGGCCTCTTGCATTTGCAGAGCACGGCAGCCGGTCACTAAATGACACCCTGGCAGCATGAGAGTGTTAATGCAGCTCATTTATAAACAAGGAAAGCACCCAGACATCATCGGGACTATTATTTCCCAAGTGAGATTACTGCTAAACTTACGTCTGAGGGGAAACGTCTGAATAAGGGTGCCGGGTTCATTAGCGGGACCACAGCGAGTCAGTGCGTCATGCATTTGTTATCGTGACAAGTTGTGACTTGGCAGTGTGATAAAGGAATGCACACTGAAAGACTGGGCCACCATGGGCCCCGGAAACCAGACGCTCGCTGTTGTGGGTTTCCATCTTCAGACATCTGCCTCCTGCACAGCCAGGGGCTGGCAAGGTGACTGGAACTATCGTTTCTCAATGAGTTTGCTGCTCCCAGGGCTTCCCAAGGGGCCTGGCTCCATCTGTTCTGCTCCCCAGGGGCTGGAGGTGGGGGTGGTTTGTTTTCATGTTGCTGAGAAGTAGCAACCAACCTCTGCATTAAGGTGCTTGGGCCTGTTGAGCAAACCTATGGAGGAAGGTGGAATTCTTCGGGGGTGGCAAGGCTGCCCCAGGAGAGGGCCATACAGGCTGGAGAATGGAGGTAGTTTACCAGAACTTGACTCTGGTGGCCTTCTTTTGGGTCCAGCGCTAGAGATTTCAGAGGAGCCAAAGGTTGCCAGGGAATTTCTTGTCTTCTCTGCCGATGCCTCTGCAGGCCCTGGGCCTGTTTGGTAGATTGGTGTATGTGTACCCTATGTGTTTGGTAATGGGAGAGATCGACTTTCAGAGAAAGAGAAGTATTGAGAAGTCTTCTTTCAAGGCCCAGTTGTATAGGTAGGAGTGGAAGGCAAAAGTTTCCCACTGAGACTCGTTACACTCATCTACAGAACAGAATTAAATCCAGGTGTGGTGAACACATATGTAATTGCAGCACTCGGGCCTGAGGCAGGAGGATTTCTGTGAGTTGCCCAGTCTACATAGGGAGTTCCAGGTCCTCTTGGGGGATACAGAGTAAGGATCTGCATTATAAAGTGAAAGCCAAGCACCCTCCCCCCACCACAATAGCTGTCAAACAGGGCCCAGGACAAATGTTCACCTGTTACCAACTGGAGGCAATGGTAAGGCTGGGCTTACCATCTCCATTTGTGAGTGCACATGTGTGAAATTGCCAAGGGCCCCCGAGTGGGGGCAACAACTGAGCTGACAAGTCTTGCGTTTCATTCCTTGTTGCATAACCCAGGACATCTCTGAACCCATCTCTCCATCTGGGAATGGAGATAAACCCTTCCAGAGCTTTTGTGGTGATGTATGCACCCATCCATTCAACAAGCAGGGGACCTGGCAGCAGAGACTGAAGTAGCTAGTTTCCATTGGCCTGGAAAGGGAATAGGAAGTATGGCCCAATATTAACCCCAGGCTTTGTGCCCGGCTATATTCTCTAGGCCCTTTGTATTTAATGTGTGTAGGGCGTCACCTCATCATAGAGTTTGAAATGGGGGCAGGAAGAAGAGTCCCTTCTTCATCGAAGCCAGAATACCCAGAGGACAAGAGAAGGACCAGCAGAGGAGAAAGCTCTCTAGTCAACACTGGTGAGATCAGTCATGGATAACTGAATACAATTCCTGCGGGTCTAATAACTTAAAAAAATATAACTGCATTTTGAAGCTCCGTCAGTTAGCATTACTTGGTTCTGAAGTAACTACATTAAATCTCACCTCTTAATGTTCTTTCCAATATCTCTTTTTGTTTGTTTTTAAAGAACAATCCTTCTCCTTCTTATTAAAAGTCTAAATGGTCAGTACATCTAGGAACAAGTGATTTGAAATGTCATTCTTCATGGACCCGGAAGACAAGATGTTGACCTATTTTTTTTTTAAAGGTCATTAGATATAGACAGTCAATCTCATAATAAGTCAATCTCAAAAGAAGAAGGAGGAGGAGAAGAAGGAAGAAAACAGGCATTTAGCCAGAAATGTAGTGTAAACCCAGAAAATAGAGAGTCATTCTGTTAAAAAAAAAGGGGGGGGGGAAGAAAGGGAGTTGTCTTGGAGCCATCCTCTCTTCTTGCATTTATTCCCCTACTGCAATCATGAGCCCAAGGATTGTGACATCACTGGGTTGCTGTGGAAATGTTTATTCCACAGAGGAGTTGGACCTCAAGTGGGGAATTTAGAAGAGGAAGTGCGAACTCTCAGAAAAACACAATTGGTTTCAGAAAGAGGAGAATCAGAAAGAAAGCAATATGAACTGCTAAGAGGTTGTTGCAAGTTTCCCTGGGAGGAATCAAGTCCTCGGAAGAACACAGATATGCCCTTTTTTTTTATTGGAATTTTACTTTCTATAAATATCTATATAAAGAGTCAGGAGAAGTAAGGAAAGAATATCTTGCAATGGGGAAAAAACATTCAGCTGCTCAATTATTGAGACCCAAAGGTTTGGTCTTGAAATACCTTGGCTAGGGGAGGGGAGGAAATTGTATCCTTTTACATTTTATGACATATAATGGGCTTAAGAGGATATCGTTCTTTAAAGAATTGTGACTCAAGGGGCTTGCCTCTTAGTGCAGAAGCTACAAAATCGTTTTTCGTTTTGAACTGTTAAATAAACACAACACCAGACCAGAGCCTTTCTTCCTGCTGGGGCAGTATTGTCCCCTAAATCCACTTTCCAGTCTTCTCAGCCTAGCCCAGTTTGATGTAGCATTTACTTCGCCTACTACAGCAACCGGCGAAGTAAGTGGGTTTGCATTTGGAATGGTTGAGGAGGCAGCCACCAGCGTGTGTGTGTGTGTGTGTGTGTGTGTGTGTGTGTGTGTGTGTGTGTGTGTGTCTGTCTGTGTCTGTCTGTCTGTCTGTGCCTGCCTGCCTGTCTGTCTGTCTGTGTTTATGCGGGCGCGCGCTCGTGCGCGCGCGCGCGCCGCTAAAGCTGGGGAGGTCTAGTGGCACCGGACAGGAAGAAAATCGAGACGTAGCAACTGTGTGAACACAATATTTTTGTTGCTGGAAGAAGGATCCCTGCCCGGAAAGGCAATTTTAGGAATTAAAATTCAAAAGATCTTTCAGCGGAGTAGGAAGAAGGCTCGGGGAAGGCTCGAGTTGTAACGGAGTGCTGTGTATCTCCTAGGCATCCTCTCCTCTGGATTGGCTTGGGGCGCCCCCTCCTCATCCACCCACCTGCCCGCCGCAGCACCTGCGCCCCCTGCTGTCCCGGGACTCACACAGCCAGGAGGGGAGGACCTGGAGGTCCGACCGGTGGCAGGGGCTGCAAAGGTCTGGTGGCGCGGGCTGATTTAGTGGCCAGGGCTGTAGTACAGGCTGTCCCCGGCAGCCGGCGGAGTCGGGGAGCCCACGTGATGGCCCCGGCTCTCCGGTGAGCTCCCCAAACAGACGCACACCCAGGCGCGCGCGCACACGCGAGCGCGCGCGCACACACTCACACATACACTCACACACACACGCACACACACACGCACTCACACACGCACGCACGCACCCAGTCTGGCGCGCGCACACGCCCGCCCGCCCGCCCGCCCGCTCTGCCTCTGCGCCCTGCATCCCGGCTGGCTCATTCTCTCGCCCTCTCGCCTCCCCTGCGGTCTCTCTCTCTGCGCGCACACACCGCACACACGCACACGCACACACACACACGCGCGCATACACGCAGCCGGCACAGGCGGCGGCGGCGGCGTCGGCGTCGGCGGCGGCTGCCGGAGTCAGGACGAACCTCTCTAGGTACGGTCTTGAGAAGGCGGCAGCAACGGCGGCGAAGGCGGCAGCCCGAGCATCCCTGCTCAGCCGGAGAGGGAGCAGTGCGAGAGTTCCCGTCCCCTCGGCCATTCCCTTCCCCCCTCCTTTTCTTTATTTGCGAGAGAATTTCAGCTGCCTTATTGATTTCGTTTGATTTGGAAACATTTTTGGTTGCTTTTGTGTGTGTGTGTCCTTTTTTTTTTCTTTCCTCGTTTTATTTGCATCCAGAGCATGGCGGGCTGCGGGCTGTCGGAAGACACCTTCCTCTCCTCCTTCTTTTACAACTACGGCTCCTCCTGGGAAACCCCTTCCAACCAGGTAAGGGGTGGCTCAGTGCCGGGCGGCATCTCCCTGTACCCCCCCCCCCCACTCACTTGGCACCAGGCGGGTAGACAGAGGCTCGGGAGGGGGGTGGGGAGGATGGGGGGCCAAGTGGGTCGCACTGTCTGGGTCAGCGCCAACCGGCGACAGAGGTGTCCCTCCTTCTCTATACCCCCCACACATAGCGCCAGCTCCAGGGGCTGTCGCGTCCCTCCGGTGCCCATTCTGCCACGGACACCTATCTATCCCCAAACCTCCCAGCCCAACGGGAACCCGAGAAAGAGACAGGAGCTGGCGCGTTACCCCGAACAACTCCAGGCAAAAGCAGGGAACTCGAGCGCAACCTTCACCAAGTAGCCGCGGGCGCCGCGCCCCTGTGCGCCCGCCGCTCGCCCTCCAGTTGAGCCCTGGGGCTGCCTAGCTGTGAGACCCCCTGCGACGTGTTGTCCCTCCCTCCCTCCACTCCCTCCGGGCCCGGAGCCACCTCTTTCCCTAAAATGGCTGCAATCTCAAGTGGATGCGTCCCCTGACCCGCGGGGATGGGAGGGGGGTGGTAAGCAGAGTGGAGGCTCTACCCCTCCCGACCCCGTACCTCCCCGGGCGCGCACGAGCACCCCACAAACACACACTTAACTTTGATGACTGTGCAATGCAGTCCGGCTGCATCGTGTCCTGCCCGCTCCCTGCTGCCGGCCTGTAGGTGTGTGGATCGGTGTGGCTAGGGGGCCCCTGGAAGCTGGAGGAGGACGAGGGAAGTGGGGGCGTGGAAGGAGACCGGTGTCCGCCGGCCACTGATTACCTGGAGAGAGACAGGCATGTGTTCAGGGTCTGAGAGGGGTGCCCAAGCTATTCCGGGAGCCAGAGCGAGAATTAGAGGGAGGAAAAAAAAAATGCCTTTTAATTAAATAACTGTTGTAGTCTGCTGCCCCCACTGCTTGTTTGGTGAAAGTCTACAGGCATCTGTCATCTCCAAACTACACCGGGAAGTGGAGCTGGGGTCCAGGGAGAGGAGGCGTGTGTGTGTGTGTGTGTGTGTGTGTGTGTGTGTGTGTGTGTCTGTCTGTCTGTCTGTGTGTGTGTGCGCGCGCGCGTGCTTGGGAAAGTTGGGGCCAGAAGCTAGGTAGAAGAGCAGCGACGAAGGCAGCACCAACTCGGTGGGCCGGCCAGGGCTCGGGGAGTTCCTGGGCCCCGTGGAGCGCGCACCCGAGGGCGCGGGCCCGCGAGCCCGAGGGTGCCGAAGGGGACTGCTCGGTCCGGCACGACTCTCCGGGCTGCGGCGGCGGCGTCTCTGTCCCTGAGCCGGTCCGCCGGCCTCCAGCCGCTTTCGGGGCTGCTCGCAGCGCTTGCCCGCGCTGGCGCGCTCCCTCCGGGGCCCAGATCTCAGCGCGCTCCGGCGAGCTCGCGGATGGGGGGGGGTAAAAAAAATTAAAAATAAATAAATCAATAGAAAGCCAAAGCCCCCAAACCAAAAACCGAAAAATGTGCTCCGCTGCCCCCTTCACCCCCCCCCCCCCACGTCTCCCAGACACAAATAGCTGAAGTAGTAGTGGCCAGGTGGAGACCTCGCCTCCCCGGCGAGGGCTCTCCGGATCCCGGATCCCGCCGCGGCCGTGGGACTGAATAATACATAAGCCGCTTGGGAGATCCGAAAGGCTCCCGCCGCCTCATCGCTCCGGAGCGGGGCCCCGAGCTCCCGCCGGCCCGCCGGCCGTCGCCGCGATGGGGCGCCGGGCCACCCCCAGATCAGCCGGCCGGTCGCGGGGCGCAGGGCGGCGGGAGAAGGCAGGCCCGGCAGCTAGCCGAAAACTTGCAGGAGCTGCCGAGGTGGTCGCGCTGGCGGTGGAGTTGGGGACCCTGGAGAGACCCGGAATAGGATCAAGGGGGCGCCCTGGCTGCAGGTTGCTAGCTTCCAGAGGCTTTTTCTCCTAGCCACCCCGCCCCGCAAAGCTTGCTCTCTCTACGCCTGCCCGAGGCAGCTCGGGGAGAGTCGCCGACCCCCTCGGGTTTGGCCAACTCCAGTGCGCGCGCCTGGCGTGTGTGTGTGTGTGTGTGTGTGTGTGTGTGTGTGTGTGTGTTCGCGCGCGCGCGCGTGTGTGTGTGACGCGCGTGTGCCTGTCGATGAGTCACAAACCAACCCCAGCTCGCCCTTAAGGACCGAGGCGCGGACCTAAGGCTTGAAGCGCACACCTGCCTCCAGCCCTGGGGGCTGCGGGGGATTCCTCGGCAGCGCCGCGCCTCGCATTCCTGGACCTGAATGCTTTAGGCTAAGTTTCCGGGCCAGTGGCTCAGACCAGCAACGCAGGGAGCAAAAACTGGGCTGTTTGCTATTCCTCGGGAGGAAGAGAGAAGGGAGACCCTGTGGGTGTCGCCAGGCACACGGCTACACCGCTCTAGAGCCACGCGAGGAGGAGGCTTCGCAGCATCTTTAAGGAGATAGCAAGCGAGTCGGAGAGCGTAGGAAAGCGGAGGGCAGGGCCCCTATTTCTCACGATAGGCAATCACGTGCGAACTCCTTGGAAACCCGAAGTGGTGGGCGGCAGGGACGGCGGGAGTGTGGGGCAGGTTCGTAGGGGACAGGTCATGGGTGGTTGCAGAGGGGTCGTTGTAGAGGCCACGTATTGTCTTTCTGGATAAAGTTAGTTTAACTTGATTAAGAAAAGCATCTCCCCTAGACAGGGCCACGCATGTTGCTAAGAAAATGTAAAGAATTTCTGATAAAGCAGCTGGGGCTGCCATGGCAGGTGATTAGCTCTCGGAGAGCGAGCTACCCTGAATGCAGAGGAATTGGACGCCGGGCGAGCAGGGAAAGCAGATGTCCTCCTCCAGTGGTACAGTACGAACTTTAAGATAAAGTGCAGAAGCAAGAAAAGGCATGTTTCATTAGGGGAAGGGCAGCCACCACCATATTGTCCGGTGGGAAGTCCTGGCGAGCACAGTGAGTTACCAGGACTTGCCCTTCCCAGCTCAGGCACCATCACCATTTTCCCGGGAGGAGACTGACTGTACCGCCCATGCATTAGGCCTTGCCTGGTCTCCAGTTTGTCCTTTCAGCATCTGGGCATGGGCAAACGACTATGGAAACTGCTCTCAACTGCTCCTGCCAAGAACAAGGAGAAAACCAAGGCAATAGTTTCAAATCCTATCACAGGATTCAGGCAGAGCCGACATGGGGAGAGGCCTGGGCCAAATTTGAAAGAGTGAGACTTATTCATGATTTTACCTGAATTGCTGCCAAAAAAAAAAAAAAAAAAAAAGCTCACAAACCCTTCATTCCCTAAAAATAGCAACGTTCTTCAGGTATAATTTGTTTACCTCAATTAAAAATAATGCCTCTTCTTGGTGTTATAAAGTGCTTATGAAGGTAAGGGTTGGCTGTACTAAAAAAAATCAAGCTTTTTATTTCTAGATCAATATGATGTGCTCTCAACATCTTAATACCATGTAAAAGGAACCTTTTTACCACATCGATAGCAGGCAGTCATGTCTACTAAGAACCCCCTTTCCTGGAATCACGAGGCGGTTTGATTTCTTTCGTTTTCACGAGAAACATGATTATGACACCGCTCATTATAAACAAGAGTGAAAAATAGGATGAACATGGAGGCTGTCGATATATAGAGCTGGGAAGCTGGAGCGAGTCATTTATTCACTTCTAAAACAAAAACAAGCAAATAAACAGACATTAAAAATACTCCAGCTCCAGATCATCGACAAAGGGAAGGATTTTAGTTATTCTATGACACTTATTGTAGCTGGGGTGGTGGTGACACACACACACACACACACACACACACACACACACCACACTTCTTGAGAGAAAGAGTCTAATGTGTATTAGAGCCCAAACTACATCTGTTACCATTTGAAAGCTGGGAGATTCCATCCTGTTTTTGGGAGGCCAAGCTGGAGGGTTTTTTTTTTTTTTTTTTTTTTTTGCACGGACTTCCCAGTGTGCAGAACAAACCACAAGTGTGTGTGGGCAGGAATGGTGTGTGGGGGGGGAGCATCTGCTGAGGTGGAGTCTGCTTCAGTTAGAGTGAAACCCCCAATTAGAGTGGATCTGTGAGATGGCTCTGCTTTGGCTCAGCTCAGCAGACGGCAGCCCGTTCTTTAATTTACAGTTTCGCGCCTAGGGATGGCAGGAAAGCAAGCTCCCAGCACTGGGAGCTTTCTCTTTCCATGTCCAGCCTTTCAGCCTGGACTTCTCCCCTGCAGTTGGTTAAGCTCTCCAGCCGCCCAGCCCCAGTCTTCTGCAGTGGCTATTACCTGCTTGCTTTTTGGACCTAGGTCACCTTATTAGTTGTCACTATGCAAGCCCAGATCGAAGCCGGCCTGGTCTGTACGATACAGAATCAATCACCTGAAAGTGAAAAATGGAGCCAATTAGCTGACTGCTTGGGTGTCCCAGAGGCCAGACATCTGACTTCCCTCACCTGTTTGGCCAGTCCTTTGGTTACCTGGTCATTTCACGCCATCCACTTTGTGAAAGAGACGTCACTATCTGGTGTGACTATGCATTTTAACTCTCCTTTGCCTCCTGCATCATCAAACTCTATAAAATGGCCTCCACGGAAGAACAGCCGTGCCGTATCTCTGCAGAGCAGGCAGTCTTCCTGATGAATTCGGCTCCATACTTTTGCTACTCAGGGCGTGTGGCTGTTTGTACTCTATCTTGTCTAGCAGGGTAGAAGTGTTAATGCAGATTCATTACAGGGTGTAGGTAAGTTGCTGAGCACTCCTCCTGTCTGCCTTTTGGTAGGAGGAGTAGGGGAAGCTTGATGTTTCCAGGTTTAGGGTTAGTCAAAGCAGGGAGCACTAGGTAGAACCAAATGCATGTCTGTTTTCTTCCCGGCGATTCCAAAACTCTAAACAGTGTTTAGATCGATAAGGTTGAACCAAGACTTGCAAGTGGAGGAATCTACTTTCCTCTCCAGCACCCACGTGAAAATCCAGTCACGGTGACGTGCTGGGGAGGCCTGGCACTCACTAGACTGCAG